AGTGGCTCAAGAACGCCGAGGAAGGTAAACAGAATCACTCCAGCCGTAATAGGGTCATTACACTGCTGCTGCACAAGGTCGCACTCACGGGCATACCTTTTCTCTTTCAGAATCGGAATCCGAAACGGAAGAAGGTGACTAAATTGTCAAAACTGTCGACAGTAAAGCAAACAGGAGCTGTAGATAAAATGTCATGTCTCTCGTGTCCTTCTGATTCTTGCATCCTACCTCCCTATATCAAGCATGATATCAGGGCTTTCATGGCAAAATTTACTTTGTGTTTTCTACGGTTATTAGAGAACACTGAATTTAGGTTTTTTAAAAACCATGTGTTGGTAGCTTACAGGAGCTATAAATTTTGATCCTAACATTGCATTATCTTTTCAGTTACATTCTACCTCCTGTATTTTCTACTGTAACATAATTTAAGGCCTTCCACAGTTTGAATTCATTTTATCCCTGGGTTTTCTATAAAGTTTACAAGTAGACATGATTGGGGGTGGGGTGGGGGGGTGAATTTGTTTATACAAATTCTGTTTGCAAATTAAACCGTTCCAAGTATCCAAAGTCAAGAGGCCCTATGTGTGGTTTTGTGGGGCAGGGTGGGGGGAGAATGGGTTTTTAGCATTATCAGCCCCTTAAGAGTACTACTACAGCAGTTCATTTGCCCTCAGCTTCCTGGTTCTGATATTCTTGCAGTTTTAATTTAGTCATGAATGGTTTTGTCTGCAAAATGAGATTAAAGAAGTAAAAGACTTGCCCCTTTTGATGGTCAAAGCACTGCACATACACAATGTATTAATCCTTTTAAAAGCTTCTTGTTCATATTGCCGAAGATGATTAAATTGGGCTTGCTTCAGAATAGCTTTTATCAGGTCCTGAAGTCCTTCCCTCCCCCCCAGATTTCAGCCCACTTAAGGCCCATGGGAACTCTGCCGGTTTAATGGAGCAGCAGTCTTCTCCTTTTAATGGAAACAAAGTGGAAACTGAAGGTTCCGTAGCCAAATAAGGGTTAAAGATGACATGTGGAAAGCACTGGCTGCTGGAATGTGGTTGACGAAGCATCCGGAAAGTAGTCCTAGGAGTTAAATTCAGCAAAGAAAAAAACTGGGCTTCACTTTGTTTGACTTAATGGGGTGGGGAGCAATTTTCGGCGCTTCTCTCGCCTGATGTTTTGGGGTAACCCTGTCCTGCCTGTACAGCACCAGGTGGTAGGTGGGAGGTGAGGGGGAGTCCACTTGTGTTAACGGGAATTGCCTGTGTTGGTGGGAGACAGTCACGACTCGAGATCCAAGGCACAGGTGGACTAGTGATCCCGACTACTTCCCAGTGTTGCATCTGCCCCGCTTTAGGGGGGCAGGGGGGGAAATCAGCCAGTGCTGGAGGGACAAGTAAACGGCAGGGCCTTGAGCAAGCTGGTCACAGTGGGGTGGTAAAGGTTTCACTTCCCTTTCTCCCTCCAGAGCCAACAGAATCTCTTCCAGGCAGTGGGAGGCCGAGGTGCTAGACCTCGTGGTAGAGAGTGTGCAAGAAGGCACAGGCTCCATTATTTGGGGAGGGGCGTATGTCAAAGGCTGGAGTGGCTGTTTTTTTCAGCCACATGACACTGAAAATGCAGGAGCTATAATGCTGCCTATTGTCAGCTGCTACCCCGCCCCAAGTTTGCAGCGAATTGGATCAAGGTAACCCAGTCCTCCTCCTCGTCTCCATTGTTGGGGGGTGGGGGGAGCGGTCAAAGAAGCCAGCAACTACTCCCGTGAGCAGCCACTGGCCAAGAGCCTCCAAAGGTGAATAGAACCCAACATTCACCCTTCAGATTCCCGACAGCCACAGGCAGCATGGCGAGGCCAGCACAACCCAGCAGCCCTTCAGCCCTGGTCCTCCTGTTGCCTTCCAGCTCTGAAGAAACACAACAGCACCGTGGCAGGCACCGGCTCCATTTCACGTGCTTTCGTGGGATCGGCTTGAGCTTGTTTCAAAGTGAGATACCAGTCTACTTTCATGACGTCTCTTGTTCCAATGGAACTTCTTTTGTTTCTTCTAAGAGGCCAGATGTTTTTAGGCACTGTGTCTTCTGCACACAGAAGCATTCCCACTCTCACTGTGCAGTGGGCAAGGGGGTTGGACCAGCTGGCCTGTACGGCCCCTTCCCACGCTGTGATTCTGTGACTCTATCTGATCCCATTGCCTGGGAGACTTAATGCTGAAGTAAAAGAGGCATGGGAGCAATGCAAGCACCGGTGTTCGACTTGGAACACATCTTTTAACGCAGGGAACCATTTTCTAACATCCATCTTGAGTTCTGGAGACCTCCAAAGTGTGCATTCTCATTGTGTGTTCTTGGTGCTTGGCCTGCAAGCTCCCTGCTGCAGGTGCGCACATAACCATCCCCATAATAGAAAGAGAAGCAGTAGCAGCACCCCTATGGCCAAAAAGGTGCTCTGGTACTGAAAAGGGTTATTGATAGCTATACCTCATCTGCGTTTGGTGGGGTGCACAGGGCCTAGACTCTGTAAGCCATTAAATGAGTACCATTGCCAGGGAGAGCACCTGAACCTATATATAGATAGGGACTCTCAGTGTGGGGCAAGTGATGCCCTGTCTTCTTGGTGCTTGGGGGGGGGGGGGAGGAACAGTGGGAGGGTTTCTGAAGTGCTGGCCCCGCTGGTGGACCACCTGATGGCACCTGGTATTTTTGGCCACTGTGTGACACAGAGTGTTGGACTGGATGGGCCACTGGCCTGATCCAACATTGGCATCTCTTATGTTCTTATGTCTTAAGGATGAGAAGCCTCTAATGTTCTTTCCCCGCTCTACTGACGTTATCGAGCAATAAGGATGTTTCTGGCTGTCTCCAGTGTAATGGCCTTTGCAATTGGGTGATACTTAGTCTGGATCAGGGCCCTCATTTGCCACACTCTGAAACCAGTCCTTGTAGGCCAGACAACATTTGAACAGCTTTTAAGGTTAGTAGAGGACAAGCATCCAGTGCTCGCCAAGCATACTGTGCAAAGGGCCATTTAAGTACATAGCAGGAGCTGGCAGTGGAGAGATGGCTTCAGTCTTTGGAAAAACTCACCAAAGGTGACCTTGCAGTGGCTAAACTTTTGAGAGCTGCTGTTCTGAGTGGCTGTCTTTAGACTAGACCTCATTAGAACAAACTGTTCACAGCTACCCACCTGAATCTAGACCTCATTAGGTTTTTCAGCAGCAAGTACGTTACCATGGTTGCATGTTTCCCTGCAATTGGGTGAGCTGCTGCTGTGTAACTGAAAGATCAGGTGCAGGAAAACCTAGCTTCAGATCCACACTCCACTGAAGGCGACTGGGTGAATCCAGGCTTCACCATGTAGGTGTGGCCTAGCAGGAGGATCTGGGTATGTTGCCCAAAGTCTTTATAAGAAGGATGAGAAAAATTAACCCAGGGGACCCCAACCTTTTTGAGCTTGCAGGCGACTTTGTAATTCTGACATACAAAGGAGGATGCAACAAAAATCAGTCACAGGAAGCAAAATTGGCACAAAGTGTTAGGGAACAGTGTTAAAACATAATAGTAACCAGAATTTCAGGCAGCTTTTAAAACTCGTTTCAAAATATCTTCTTGCATATGCACACAGTGCTACAGAACACATACTTGTGGTGGCAGCTGTTGCCAGAACTGCACAGCCAATGAGCTCTCCGATGGATAATCAGAAGCCCTAGGGGGCAAAAGACTCACCTGACCCTGGCAAGGACCAACGCTCCCTAAGTGTTGGGAGTCCTGTGAGCAAAAATTCTACTTTGTGAGCTACTGGCATTAAAGTTGTGAGCAAGTGATTTGGCTGCTGCGTAAGTTACTTTGCTCTGGAGCCATCCTTTCTGAGCTAAGGCAAAAATGTGAGTGGGAGGCTAAAAGACAGTGGGCTAGCTCACACTCAGCTTAGAGGGAACACTGGCAAGGACCATGGAGCCCACCAGCATCCCTGGCTTGAGCTTTGGGAAGGCATGTGAGCTGTTTTCCTTTGCTTGGATATGCACCAGTAACTTGGCATACAGCCAGGCTACATCTGCCCAAAAGCAATGGAAAGGATCTGGAGAAGCTGTATAGTTAGGGGAGGAGAGAAATAACCTTTACACTTTAGGATTGCAGGAGCTGTAGTATGCCAGTCACACATCACTCATTTGATACCCTGCACATATTAGAACAACATGCATTAAACTACCTCCATTTTAGAAGCACTGGTGGGAATGATAGTGCTTCACGTAACCACGTTTAAAATACTTCACTTCTAAAATGTAAAGCGGTCCGCTTTATGCTGAATTGGCACCAAGATTCGGCTTCTTGTCTTCTAGGGCAGTGGTGGTGAACCTATGGCACAGGTGCCAGAGGTGGCACTTAGAGCCCTCTCTGTGGGCACGTGTGCCATCGCCCCAGACCATCATTAAAGTGTCGAATTCTCTGCCAAATAATTTTAAGTAAATGAAAGCATTTGGGATTGCTTTCCTTCGTTTGGATCATTTTAAGTTAATGTAGGAGTTGTTTTTTCTAAAGTAAAACCTCAGTATTCAGGTTAAATTGCCGTGTTGGCACTTTGTGATAAATAAGTGGGTTTTGGGTTGCAGTTTGGGAACTCGGTCTCTAACAGGTTCGCCATCACTGTTCTAGGGTAAGCCTGGGCACAGCCAGCTTCCCAAAGTCTCAAACCCAACCCCAGTGGCCAGTTGATTGAGCCTACTAGTTGAAGGGCAAAGCAGTCGAGTGCCCTACAGTTTGTCAATCTGTGGGTCAGGATCCAAAAGTGGGGCATGAAGCCTCTGAAAGTGGTTCACAGGTCCCCCCACTAATGGCTGCTCCTGCCTTGTTCTTTCCGCTTCCTCCCTGCCAACTTCTCACATTCTCATCTCCCCATTTTACAATGATGGGGGAAAGCCACCCCTCTTGTGCAGTAGTCACCTGAAGAGGAAAGGGGGGAGATGGGACTATGAACAGGAGCTGCTCATTGAACGTGCATGGGCTGTCTTGTTTAGTTGGAAAGTATGTGACTGGACCTAACTCAATGAGCTCCCATGGCAGTGAGAAGTTTGAACCTGGGCATCCCAGATCCTATCCTGAAACTCTACACAGCTGCTTTCGGAGGGTGGCTACTGCTGGAAAAGCAGGAAATGGCCAGGCCTGAGTTTTAAGTCAGATGGTAGTAAGCCCCCCCCCCCCAGTCCTCCACAGGCCCATCACCCCCAAGGACACTGTGGCTTCTTAGCCCCAGAAGGCTAGTGGTTCTTACAAGCTACAGGGGCTGGAACATTCATTTGAAGGTTTTAACCTCCCACAGTATTTTAGACTTCAGAGTTTTCTGCAATGCTGTCTGTCCATGGCTCCAACCTACAGTTCTAAGCATCTACTCATGGCCATGCTGCTGTATGCAGAGTTCATGAAACACTTTATACTCTGCCACTGACTAACAAGTTTGACTTGGTGGGTGCACTTAGCACTTCCATGGTTGATTTGTGACTGTTTGGCTGCATGCTGGGAAGATAAAATGCTGAAAGAACAAAATGTTAACTTGCTATTTTTGCTGAGGCTTATGGCCTTAGCAGGCCAGCTATAACTGTGCATGTCTCTGGCTAAACAAAGAACAATGGCAACTTTGTAAACCATATCAGCTATACAGATTCTTTCTCTTAGACTGTAAAATTCTAAAAGTAACATTGTTCAGCTAAAAGAACAAACTTTACTTGGGAAAGCCCAGCCTAAAAGGTTTTCTGCCAATCAGAGACCTGTTAGGTCAGAGTGCTGATGTTTGATGGAACCA